GGACTGGAAGGATGAATTTAATTAAGATATAGTAAGTTAAAGTGAGACAGCAGATGGCAGTAATGCAACACTATGGATGCCAACTGCCGTAAAACTCCAACGAAGAAGAAGACAAACATCACTATTGTGATGTACATTTGTGTTAGGGACTGTTGACTGTGGAATTGTTACACTGGAGAAATGGTAAGTGGTTTCTTTAATTGCTATTCACATATGCTAATATGATATTATAATACCAATATGCACTGTGGCCTGGCCCCATGTTAGCAAATTAGTCAGGTACATGTGTTAGCCAGGTACATGTGAACCAGCCATCTTGCCAGCTGAGATTAGTTAAGTTAATTAGTTAAGCCAGGAACACACTACACAACTGTAAGGCTGGTTATGAATGTAATTTGATACTTAAAACTGATCACACCCAAATGTGTTAGAGCCATTTGCGTTCAGTTGGTGTTTACAGTCAGCATTTAAAATCATAAGTGTTTTCAGTTCAGTCTTAGAATGATTTAGTTAGTCGTTAAGTGTGTCCCTGACTTTAGGTTGCATATCAGTATTTATGATGTGTTATGATTCCCAAATCAGATCATTACTAGACTACATTACTACCTCGGGATCAAATTTCAGTAACTATACAAGCATGTTTTGTGGAAGCATGGATGCATGATTTGTTTCATATTTTGTTTAACTAATAGTTATTTTCACCTGTAAGGTTGTTAGTAACTGATTGCAATGACATATTGTTCTCTGTTTCAGGATGTGTCAAGTCTTTCCAAGGGGACAAATAAATTGAAGTTAAGAATCGAAAAGGAGTCATCAAAACAACACCAGAAGCAGAATGTATCTGTTAAATTGAAATGTCTGTCAAATGCCAACACCAAACTGAAAATAAATCAAAATGTACAAGGAAACCAAACTGTAGAAATACTTTGAAGGAAATAAAAGATGAAATTCTACATGTTTGTGATATTACTGACTAATATTAGATCATTTTTAGATCACAGTTAAAAGAATTAGTTTAACACAATGATATGACAGTGGTCTCACATGGTGAGCTCACAGTATGAGCGCACAATGAGTGTGCAGTGACCTCACATTGCGACCATTGTATGAGCTCAAAGTGAGTGTGCAGTGACCTCACATTGCGACCACAGTATGAGCGCAAAGTGAGTGTGCAGTGACCTCACATTGCGACCACAGTATGAGCGCACAGTGAGTGTGCAGTGGCCTCACATTGCGACCACAGTATGAGCGCACAGTGACCTCATTGTGAGATCAAATTGTTGACTGGGTTCCCTTCACTCAGCTCACTCAGAATGGTCAATAGCATAATATAATGATCTACATATTCACAGTCATGTTTTGCATCATTTGAAATGTCTCAGTCTTGCAAGAATTAAAAGGTATCCAGATCCTAAGAATTTAGAGATAGT